AGAGAACTCAAGCCATCAGGTCTGGAACTGAAACCCAGCAGGCCATGTGGGAGTGTAGTGCCCTTAACCACCGTGCCGCCTGCTGGCCCCAATCTTTTTCCTTTTAAAGCTCAGCATAGTCCCTTAAATCTAGGGCTTGCCACCTTTTTAATGGAAAATTGCAAACTAAATATTTTTGTAATGAATTGGCTAAGGAAATATTTAAATAGACATCCTCTTTGCGGTTTAGTTGGATTTAGGCTATAGTGTGTTGTAAAAGTACATAAATAAATTTTCTCTACTTGGAAATTATGTTGTTAAAAAATACATATTTCATAGAAGGGTGTCAACTTTGGCTTCAAATGGTTGGATTACCGTAGGAAAAATAAGAAATCAGCCTATATTTAACTAGAGTCCCCCAGAGCATCTTACAATTCTGAGTAGTGGGTTTTTTTTATTTAGTTTTTTATTTTATTTGTTTCTTCCATGAAAGGGAAAGACAAAGAGAGAGCATCAGCGACAGAGACAGACACTGCCAATGGGGTTCTTAGGCGACTATCCACCTCAAGCCTCAGTGAGCCAAGAGCATAGACATGCAAGTGGTCAGAGAGGGCCCCCTCCTGGATGTGAATTCATGTGGGTTCAGTTGTATTACTACTGGACCACATACTGGCCCCCTGGGTACTGTTGCCTAGAGATTTATAAGCAGAAAATGCTACCCTTAAAGATTGTTTGCAATACAATAAAACCCTTTCATGTTACCAGTATGAATATTCTGAAAAAAAAAAAAAACTGAATAAGCATAATGATTATACTAGAAAAGCTGTAGCATGTTCATCTTATTAGTAAGCTACCTTTAAATACATAATTTTTATTTGGATGAATATAAGATGATGGAATATGGGAATTGCAGCTTTATTGAATTTCTCCAGAAAGCAATGACTCTCAGTGGAACTATGTAATTTTCAAGTGTTCTCTTTTCCAGAGCATATTATTTTTTTTATTGTAATTTCTAATTTACGTATAATCATTTTACTTCTTTTTGGAGAGGTTTTTGCTATAGGGCACGTGTACTCACCAGAAAGACAGAGAGAGACAGACAGAAAGCAAGAAATCACCTCCAAGGGGAGATGGCCACACTACAATCCCTTCTCTTCCATTCTCCTCTTGGGATCCTGGGCATGCATGCACACGTGCCCTACTTGTGTTTAAATCACCAGTCTGGGACTTGAATTGCAGTCAATTACTTGTGTTTAAGTCACCAGTCTGGGACTTGAATTGCAGTCAATTACATGGGAGTCCAGCGACATAGCCATTATGCCAACTGCTGGTCCTTTCTTTTACTTCTTTGTGGAATATACTATTATTTTTAAAGAATTATTTTATTGAACTTATTTTATTTATTTTAATTTGACCAGAGAAAGAGGGAGAGAAAGTGAGAAACAAAACTGCCAGATACAGGACTTGAACCACGATTGGCCATGTGGGAGTCCAGCACCCTTAACTGCCACACCACCCGCCAGCCCCTGTACAATGACTTTTTAAAGGCATGTATATAGGGTATAATAACCAAATCAAGATATAAGCATATTCACATAATCTTCAGCATTTAACATTACATTATGGGGCCAGCAGATGGCATGGTGATTTGTTGCTGTACTCCCATATGGCCACCCACAGTTTGAGCCCCAGACCTGATGGCTTGAAATTCACGCTGGGCATGTGCGTACATGCCCAAGATCCCAGGACGAGAATGGAGAAGGGATTGCAGCATGGCCATCCCCGCTAGGGGGTGATTTCTTACTTTCCTTCTCACTGTCTCTGTCTTTCTGTCTCTCTTGCACGCATATACCATCTAAGGCAAAAACCTGTACCAAATAAAAAACATTATGTTATGTTGTGCACATTCGATATTCATTCAGCTTTTTTTTTTTTTTCATGTTATGTAAAACCACGGTGAAAGGCTTTGAGATGATTTTTTGGCATTTTGAGTTAACATAAAGCACTTACTGCATTCTTGTAGATTTTATATTCTTTTTTCTTACAGATACTTAATTGGTTTACCCAGATGTGCCTTGGAGTAAATCACATTCATAAGAAACGTGTTCTACACAGAGATATCAAGTCCAAGGTGAGTAGAATACGTTTTTGAGCCTTAAGTATTTCATTCAGTCATTTTTTCTGTTATTTTATTTCCTTTTGGGACATTTTTATTTAGTTTAGAAATATTTGCCAACTATGTATTTATTTTTATTATTTTGTATTTAGTTAAAACAAATTTTAGAGTTCCCTCTAGTTTTATTAATGTGTAATTGAGAAAAAATATATGTATTTATGGTGTTCAGTGTGATGTTTTTAAATATGTATATATTGTGAAATTATTAAATAAAACAGACATATTCATCACCTTCCATATTATTTTATTTTGTGATGAGATCATTTAACATCTGCTTTCTTAGTTATTTTCAAGTAGCCAATACATTGTTATGAACTGGAATTACCATACTGTATAGTAGCTCTTCAGAACTTATCCTACCTGTACCCTTTGACTTAATAATTATTCTAAGCAAATAAGGCACTACCCAAGAAAAAATCCCACTGGAGACCAGCAGTTGGCATAATGTCTATGTCGCTGGACTCCCATGTAGTCGACCACAGATCAAGTTCCGGTCCCGGTGGCTTAAAACTCACGCCAGGCACGTGTGCGTGCGTGCCCAAGATCCCGAGAGGAGAATGGAGGAGAAGGGATTGCGGCTTGGCCATCCTCCTGGGGGGTGATTTCTCGCTTTCTGTCTCTCTTTGTCTTTCTGGTGAGTGCATGTGCCCTATTGCAAAAACCTCTCAAAAAAAAGAAAAGAAGAAGTCTCATTGAAATTTCTTTGGTAGTACATGTTAGTGTGTTCCAGGCAGTTTTAGTGACCTTTACTAAGTGTGTATGTCCTCAGATGGAAAGGAGTTGAGATTCAGACCTGCCACGGGGAGTCATTCTGACAGATTCCCAGCCAGTCAGTCAGATCTGCTGATAAAACCTGAAACTTGCTTATTAGATTTCGAAGCAGTCTTCCTGAATTCCCAAGCAGAGGACTGTGTAGCTGTGCAGAGGGGAACGTGCCGTTGTACCAGGGGACTCTGTTGTCAGCATTTATACCCTTTCTCTTCATCAAAAATAGGCTTTGAAAGACAGCTTCCGTGGAGAACACTATCTAATGTTTAAATTATGGAAGATATAACCTGAGTTCTTTTTTAACACAGAATATCTTCCTCACCCAAAATGGAAAAGTAAAATTGGGAGATTTTGGGTCTGCTCGCCTCCTTTCCAGGTATGTATCTCTGTTCTGTGGTAGTGACAGTAATCAAAATGCCCGTTTTCAGGAGTGTTCTGTAATCATTCTTTGCCTTTTTATGGTTTTAGTCCCATGGCATTTGCTTGTACATATGTGGGAACACCTTATTATGTGCCTCCAGAAATTTGGGAAAATCTGCCTTATAACAATAAAAGGTAAGTGGAAAACTTCCTCGGTGCAGCTGTGACTATTTGGTGACAGGCATGATAGCCAACAAGACATGCTGGAGTCTGCTGCTACTCTAAAGCAAATGCATGGAGCACGTCAGCTTTAAAATTACGTATCTAGGGCTAGCCAGGGCCATGGTGGTGAAGGCGGCTGGATCCCGCATGGCTGACTGTGTGATCTGGGTCGTAGACATGGTGGCTTGAGAGGCACACCAGGCATGTGTGTGTGCCTAAGATCCCAAGAGGAAAAAAGAAAAGAAGGGATTGCAACATGGCTATCCCCCCCTGGGGGCGTGTGTTCTCTCTCTCTCACTCTCTGTGTCTCTCTGGTGAGAGCACATACTCTGTAGGAAAAAATCTAAATCTTTATATATGTGTGTGTGTGGATATATATATAGATAGATAGAGATATATCTAGCTATATCTATATTTATCTTCATTCTACCTGAAACTCCGTACCCTATGACTGAATATTTATCTAACCAAATAAGATACTACTTGAGAAAAAATCCCATTGGAATTTCTTTAGTAGTATATGTTTTAGTGACCTCTTACTAAGTCTGTATTGTCTGTATATGGATGATAGATAGGTAGGTAGGTAGACAGATATAAACAGATATATCTGAAATCAGGTGTATCTTTACTCCCAGGCTCCTAGATGAAAATTCTCATTTTTCAATTGTTTTTATCAGCACTGAGAAGAGCTCATTGTAAATGCTGAATGAGAGGCCAGTCATTCCTAGGGAAATTTGAGTTAAATCACTGGTTCACAAACTTTGCTGCTCTCACTTTTAAAAATCTTAAACTCGGGCATGAAGGTTGAGGTGCTAGACTCCCAAATGGTCGACTATTGTTCAAGTCCTGGACCTGGTGGCTTGCTTTTCCATTTTTTTTTTTCTCTCTGTCTCCCTCTCATCAAATTGAAAAGTGATGATGATAAATAAAATAATTTTTTTTTTAAAAAAAGAGTATTATGGAGAAAAAGTGTGGAGGATGACAACTAGGTGGTAAGAATTAAGCCAAAGTTTGACGAGGGGTAGGATAAAGGTCAACTGTAGCATTCTTCCTGATTTTGAAGAGTCATTTTATGGAAGAATGAATAGTCTTGTTCCCTTCGTCTTAAAACATAGAGCTGAATTGGGTGGAGAAAGCTCCCAGAAGACACACTTTGGCTTATGATAGCACTATCCCTTGGGTCTCTTAGAGTTTGATCTAAGGGGAGCTGACTGTCCAGGGTAGAAAGTTGTCCATCAGAGGTTGAATATAGGACAGGGTGGCCTGAGCGGAAGCTTCCTTAATGTCTTCTCCACTCCTTTCAACTGTGATAATCTGATAATCCCCACAGATACTCCTTGCTGCTGAATTCCCAAATGTTATTGACGTGGTACTTGAACCACCCTTATCTGAAGGGATAGGGATTGGGGGGACCAGCAGTTAGCATAATGGCTATGTCACTGGCCTCCCATATAGCCAACTGTGATTTGAGTCCCAGACCCGGTGACTTAAACTCACGCCAGGCACATGTGCATGCGTGCCCAAGATCCCAAGAGGAGAATGGAGGAGAAGGGATTGCAGCATAGCCATCCCCCCTGGGGGGGTGATTTCTCACTTTCTATCTCTCTGTCTTTCTGGCGAGCACATGCACCCTATAGCAAAAACCTCTCCAAAAAAAAAAAAAAGAAAAAAGAAATGAAGGGATAGGGATTGGAGAGTTATGTTTTGTTTATTTATTTAAAGAGTTATTTATTTATTTATATTTGTTATCATTATTATTGTTATTAATTTGACCAGAGATAGCAGACCAGGAGGAAAAGGGAAAGTGAGAAAGCAAGTCTCCTGATCCAGGACTTGAACTGTGTTTGGTCATGTGAGAGTCCAATGCCTTATCTACCACACCCTCTGCCAGCCCGTTATTTATTTATTTTTTTGTGAGAGATTTTTCTATTGGGTGCTTGCACTTGTCAGAGAGAAAGAGACAGAGAGAAACAGAAAGTGAGAAATCAACCCCTGGTGGGGTGGGGGACAGGGAATGGCCATGGTGCAATCCCTTCTCTTCCATTCTCCTCTTGGCTTTTTTGGCACACACATACATATACCTGTGAGTTTAAGCCACTGAGTCCAGGACTTGAACTGCAATCGACTACATGGGAATCTAATGACAAAACCATTACACCATCTGCTGGTCCCTAGAGAGAGTTTTATTTTAAACATTATTCTCAGTAATAAATGTAAGATCAATATTGTGGTATATTTTACTTTAATACCTGGGAATTACTTGTGTTATCTATTATTAAAGGATAATCGGATAATTTTTAATTTTTTTGATCTGTTTTCATATATTAACTCAAAACCCACTTGTTACCACATTGCTTCTAGTGACATCTGGTCCTTGGGATGCATCCTGTATGAACTCTGTGCCCTTAAGCATCCAGTAAGTACGGCATACAATAGGAAAGGCGGCTTGTCACATCTGACCAAGTGCTAAGTAGCGTGTTGAATTCCAGTTGGCAGCTTGCTTCCCTAGGATGAATTCATTATAAAAGTTTTCATATGTTGCCATTGCCATCATCCTTGCCTTTGGCAACTTCTGCAGCCTATAGTAATAGGACATTTCCATTCTTAAGTTTCCACTGTTCTGTACACAGCCTGCCTCCCTGCCTTTTTCTCCCTCATTCTTTCTCTTTTTCTACCCTTCTCTCTCCCTTTCTTTCTTGTTTCTTTTTCTTATTTTTCATTTATCAGTAAAATATATATGCATAAAAAAAACTCATGCAGTAAATGAATGTAAATAGATAAATTTAAAATAATAAGGTTAAAAAAAAACTCATGGAAAGATGGAATTAAAGTACAAGTTTATGGGAACAGCAGTTAGAGTAATGGCTATGTCGCTGAACTCCCATGTAGCTGACTGCGGTTTGAGTCCTGGACCTGGTGGCTTAAACTCATGCCAGGCGCATGTGCATGTATGCCCAAGATCCTGAGAGGAGAATGAGGAGAAGGGATTACAGTGTGGCCATCCCCCCCACCCCCCGGGGGTGATTTCTCTCTTTCTATCTCTCTGTCTCTGTCTTTCTGGCGAGCACACACGCCCTATAGCAAAAACTTCTCCAAAATAAATAAATAAATAAAGTACAAGTTTATTTTAGTGCTAAAAATTTTTTAAATACATGTGTAGATTTTTCATAATATGCATTTTCCTGAACTTTTTGAAGATCCCTCATAAATAACAAAAACTTTGCCATTTTAACCATTTGTAAGTGTGTAATTCAGTGACATTAATTACATTCGCAATATTGTGCAACCATCATAGTTACGTGTTTGGAGAACAAACAGAAACTCTGTACCCATTAAATAATAACTTCTCAGTCCCTCTTGTTATCAGCCACTGGTAACCTCTAATCTATTTCTATCTCCATGGATTTGCATATTCTAGATATTTCACATAAGCGGAATTTTACAATAGTCGTTGTTTTGTGTCTAGATCCTTTCATTCAGTCTAGTTTTCAGGGTTCTTCCATGTCATACATGTGTGAAGACCTCATTCCTTCTTATGGCTGAATAATAGTCTGTTGTGTGTATATCCTGTTTTGTTTTCCATTCATCTGTTGAGAAATTACCTAGGTTTGCACCTTTTGGCTACTGTGGATAATGCTGCCATGAGCATGGATGTGCAGTTAAGATTCTCTATTTCTAGGACTGGCAGATGGCGTGGTGAGTTAAGGGTGCTGGACTCCCACATGGCCGACCATGGTTCAAGTCCCAGACCTGGCAGTTTGCTTTCTTACTTTCCCTCTCTCTGTCTCCCTCTCTGATCAAATTTAAAAATAAGTAAATAAATAAATAATTTTAAATAAAGTAATTCTTTAAACAAAATTCTCTATTTCCAATTTTTGAGGTATATGTGCAGAAGTAGACTTGCTGTGTTACATGGTAATTGCATGCCTGGCTTTTGGGAACTGCCAAACAGTTTTCCAGGGTGGCTGCACCATTTTTATATCTATTTTTTTGCAATTAGATTTTACTTGTCATGTGAGTTTCTTCTCTTAACTGAAATAACAGGAGAAAATAGACTTTGTCCTATTAGAACTTTTTTTTCCAGGATATTTAAAAGAAACAAGTTAGCAAAAAAGAGATTCAACACTAGTTTTATATAGAACAATTGTGAGGCTTATCCCTTTAAATATTAGCTTTGCAGAGAAATAAATTCCATTTTGGGGCACAGATTGAAACTTAGCTCTAAGAAAACTTTCAGACAGCTTGAGAGCGCATAGAGCTCAACAGGGAGGAGAGGTGAGGAAACTGCTTCCCCAACACTAGGTGAAGGCATGTGCTATTAATGAGAAGTCATCTTCTCTGATTAGAAGTGCTTTATATGCTGTTTGCATAGTAGAACAACTGGCAGGTGGCGTGGTGGTTAAAGATTCTGGACTCCCACATGGCCGACCGTGGTTTGAGTCCTGGACCTGGCAACTTGCTTTCTCACTTTCCCTCTCTCACTCTGTCTCCTTGTGATTGAGTTTAAATAAATAAAGTTGAATAAAATAATTCTTTAAAGAAAATCCAACGTCTTATTTATTCCTTACTTCCCCGATTTTACTCTTTGCGTAAACTTACATAAACATGTCCTTTTTTTTTTCTTTTGAGCTTGAATAACTATTGAAGATTAAGGTCCCCTAAATATTTGAATCCCCCTGGATATTTGACACACAGTCTATTGTCTTGTCTGCTTTCAGGCAAAAGTCATTCTTAAACCTTAGGAAGTGCAGACACTCAGTATGAAGGTTATAAAGCCTGAGACAGAGCAGATTCCATCTTATGTTCATTACCCACATTTTTGCTTTATTATATGTTGATTTTTTTCCCTACCTTCATGTATGTGTGTATGTGTTTTATTAATAGAGTAATACATGTTTAGGCATATGCCTAATTTTTCTTATATCAGCATTACCAAGGGTAGGGCCAGCTGGTGGTGTGGTGGTTAGAGTGGCTGAATCCTACATGGCTGACTGTACACCTCAAGTCCCAGATCCAGTGGCTTGAAAAACACACCAGGCATGTGTGTTGGTGTGCCCAGGATCTCGAGAGGAGAATGGAGAAGGGATTGCAGCTTGGCCGGCCCCAGTGGGGGATGCTTTCTCATGTTCTTCTTGTCTTTCTCCTATTGAGTACACATGCCCTATACCAAAGTAAAATGAGTGAATAAATAATAAACAAACTGATATATACTACCCAGGGTGCCATCTGATGTTAGTTCCAGTATCCTTATTATACATTGAAAACTTTTGAATGCTATTCTATGGGTTGTTGGGAAAGTCATGATGCGTTTTTGCATGGAGAAATAAGTCATGACTTTCCCAATAGCTTAATAGTATGTAATTTTATATCCCACTCTGTTACTTGTGTAATTTTAGTAGTTACTTTAATGACATGAAAGGTGAAAAGACTCTGCAGCAGAAGTTTAAAACTAAAATAGTATAAAGTATGCGTTGCTACAGAGCAAGCCTGGGAATTTCTGGGGAGAGGCGGAGCAGAGGAATGTTACACTTCTTATAAGCCTGTTAGCATCATTTGACTGTAAAAAACCATATGTATTGCTGTGATTTTTAAAATATATTAAAAAGGTGTATCCGTAAAAACATCCATTATAGCAATAAAGTAACTAAAGCAGGCGTTGATGGGGAGACTTCTCTAGATGGGGAATTTTTTTATAGTTCATGTTTACCTTTCTCCTGAACCACCAGAAGATTATAGAATATCTTAAGGAAAATGTAGAGAGGAAAATGACCAGACAGAAGATACATTTATTAAATTTAGATAATTGATATGAATTCAGTTCTACTGGTATTTTTTCATTTCCATTTTCTTTTCTTTCATCTGCTTTTAAAGTTGTGTGTTTTTTTATTTATTTATTTTTTTAACTTTTCAGTTTCAGGCAAATAGTTGGAAGAATCTTATCCTCAAAATATGTCAAGGGCCCATCAGTCCACTGCCATCACAGTATTCCTATGAGCTTCAATGTCTAATCAAGCAGATGTTTAAAAAGAGCCCCGCACATCGCCCTTCAGCTACAACACTCCTTTCTAGAGGCTGCTTAGCTCGGCGTGTCCAGAAGTGCTTACCCCCTGAGGTATGGTGCGCATTGTATTGAATTTGATGACGTTTACAAGTATATGGCAAAATGGTTAACTTTTAATCCCAATAACAAGTCAATTGATACAGAGTATGTTTAAAAATATATATAAATTGGCAGAGCCATCTGGTGCAGACAGTCAGGTGCCATTGCATAATGCTGGTACCACAAGAGAGACCGAGGTTCAGATCCTGGGTATACCTGAATATGCTGGATACGCCTGCTCACCTGCGGTCCTGGCTGGCTGGGAAGCTGAGGGGAGGATTGTGGCGTGATAAAGTGTGGAGAGACCCTATTGAGGGTACCCCCTACCTCTATAGCATACATGAGAGAAATAAACTTTTAGAAATAAATAAATAAATAAATAAATAAATAATTATAATATAACTCCTCTTCCTTCATCTTCTCCCTCCCACAATGCTATTCCGTAAATACAATCACAGTTACAATTTGCTAATCCTTTTAGATCTTTTTTTTTTTTTTTGTCTGTGTATGTATGTGTCCGTGTTTGTGCATGTGCACTCGATGTGCAGGTACAGTTTACCACTGGATGCCTGGCTGGCGAAGCTTCGCTTT